ACGTTCAAACACTACGGCATCGTTGATTAATCATGCTGCATCGGCTGCATCCCTTCGTTATCATCCGTATATGAAACCAAGTGGTTTGATGCCAGCTGTACCAAATCCACTTGGAATACCTCCATTCCCGACAATGACAAGCTTTCCTTCAGCGGCCGCATTGCAGGCCATGTATACCCAACGTCTTATGGCTACTATGCCTCATCCGTAGAACTCATTTATATGCTTAGCAGGTTCTTTTATGCTCATCGTGTTACCGTTGAGATAGTGATGAACGTCATGACACAGTGTCTTTTCCGCTTAGTTAAAGTCTCTTGAAAATATTCTGTGCATCGAATTTTCCAACTATCATCTCTCACTCCATAAAATATCGGATTTAAAAATGATAGGTTTTAACTGGGATATAGTACCATTTAAATAGATTTTTGTAAGTCTACGAATATAATCTCAAAAGAGTTTTAAGTATCCATAGCATTTCAGCAGGGAACTGGATTTTATGTGGTTGGTGGGGAGTGCTTATTGATTATTGATCATCAAGGCCATAAGCTGTATACATTTCTCAGCAGTTATTTATTGCGGGTATTTATTCAGCAAACTGTGTTAACTAACTCATTTTTTGTACGGTGTTTTCTTTTTTTGGTATGCTTGATTTTACTTCCTTACATATTGTATCTAAATATAGTTTTATGGTTCTTACAAGTTTTAGACTATCTTATATTTCGTTGTTTTATGCTTTGTCTTTTGTGGCAATCCTTATTTCAGATTTTCTGAAATCTTACGGAGAAATTTTTCGAAAACGAAAATTAATGCACAAAATGTATGGCAATTTATTTATAGTTAGATCGAGAAAAACTCACATAGTTCCCACAGAAAAGATCTTTCTAGAGAAAAGATTTTTTTTTTCAAGTCGATTTCCTTAATCCTGTATAAAATCAGTTATCTCTTTCTGCTTTCTTTATTCAGTTCATGACAGCAAAAATTTCCATAAATTCGTGATCTTAGAAATTTTGATAAGCTTCACTGTTTTTTTGCATCATCAGATGAATGAGCGTTTCTTTTTAATCGTATTTGTTATTAAAAAATTGCGCGAGAAAACCTCTCTTTTGTTTTCCTTTTTCTTTGCTTCTTTCCACCAGTTCTGGGTAGTTATTAAAACAAACAAAAAGGGATGTTTTTCTGATGTAAAAATTCATTTGTGCACACAATAAAATCTGTAACAATTTGTTGGTTACGCGTTTTAAACTTTTATTAAAACACACAGAAAGATAACTGTTATTCGTTTAAATTTCATGGAAAATTTCTGTCTTTAACGTTTGTTATCTCCCCACAGAATTCCTCTTCCATTGTCATTGAAAAAGTTGATGAATTGGCCAGAAAAATTTCTGGAAAAGCAAGTTTCTTCTCACTAAATCTATGAAATATGAAACAAACAACGATTATCTAGGAAATTTTTGGATCTGGGCTATTTCATTCCAAAAGGAATGGAATTTTTGTTGACATGAAGTTGTACGGTTTTTGGGTAAGTTAAACTAAAAATGAAAGCGATGAGAGATTGATAACTTTCTCTGGATAACTTCTGAATAAGAAATGAGACATCGGAAAAAGATTCGTTTATAATCACGAAGGAAGAGTTATGTTGGGAAGGGAAAGGGAGAGAGCGAGAAGATACGTTTTCTGAGGCCATTAAAATCAACATTTAATAAATGTTGATGGATGAGACAAAAAATGGCTCATAAATCTTCTTTTCGTACCGTAACGATGATCGATTGACAGCTGAATTGATGCAGTAGGACAGTTCGGCGAAGCATAAAGGGTTACCCGAAACTCTGCTATGTGCAGTACTGCCAGCAATTTTTCAAATTTAGCAAACTGAAAAAAATGATTTGACGTTGCTCAAAAGAGAAACTGGCACTATATGGCTTCGGGAGTTTGCTGTGTCACAATCTACAGTTTACTTGATTTATAGTAATAGTTGAAGATTAAAAATGACTGTGTGTAACTGAAAGCTGGAGTGATCAGATATCTTTTGTGGCAGTAAGTTGTGATACAGATTAGTCGAAGTTGTACCAGTCATTAACAAGAAAATAATTTAGATGCTGCCAAGTTGAAGTAAACTTACTTGGCCATTATTCAATTTTTTCTTGTCAAGTGTTGATCGCTCATCGTCTGATATTATCAAGTTATATGCAGAATATAAGGTGGTGAAATTGATCTTTCTGTCTTCACTTTATCAATTTTGCTTCATGTATTAACGTGAAATTACACCGAGGACACATCTTCAGTTAAAATTCTGACTGAAGGAGGACTCCGAACAGTGGTTTATTTATGCTACTCTCAGTTCCAACCGAATCGAATGCAGGATCAAATACAAGAAGAATGGGACACTGAGATACGCTTTTCAAGACCATAGCAGGTCATCCACTCGATTTTAAAAAGATTCGGTTTCATAGCTGTAAACTCCATTTCACCGACTTTTTTTTTGCACTGATTCCAAAAAACATCGAAACAATTAGAATCTTCAATATTTTCTGCAGTAGAAATAGATACAGAATGTTTTTTCCCGCTTTTTGAGCGTAAAAAATAGTTTTATGGTAAATTAAGTTTAGTGAGATTACGAAGCAAAAATGTATAAATACCGTGAAATCATTATCAGGGCGTCATTATAAAATTATCATTATCCGCGGTGGTGGCGTTTTGAAAGATGTCTATAGAGGATTCGAATATTTCGGATGCTCCGAATCCAAATCCTTCGAGCGGGGATTTTTTGACAGAAACTTCCGCTCCTGTCTGTATCAACATTCCTGCGTCCAACGAGGACAAAACAAGAAATTCGGAGAAGGATTCCGAGAGTTCCCTTGTGGGAGATACTAATCCAACCGAGAGACAAAATACTGATGAAGCAGAACATCACGATCCAGAAGTAAAAACACATTCAAGTGTCTTTCGTTGATATAAAACTTGCGGCAAATATCGATCATTTTTAGATCCCGTATTTTCTAGCAGGCGTATTTTAAGCACTGTTGAAGAATCACGCAATGAAATTCTTTTTTCAGTGCAATCCCACCGCCACGGATGATTCCGCAAAAGCTGACATACCAGCACGTGGCCGCAGTTTAAAGAAAGAGAGTCCAACAAGCCATCGTGACCGTGAAATTTCGCCGCGTTCGCTCACGGGGAATGCCAAAGTGATTGCCCTGCACAAGCGACTCATGGCACGTCGTCGTCATCCCACTCCGTATCCGACCAAGCATCGCAACCACGATGACTTTAATGAATAAAGAGACTGAAACGATTATGTGATTTTATGCGCTTGCAATAGTTATTATTGCGCTATTTATGAAGTGATGATGAATTTGTGCATGGTGAGAAAGAAATAAGTTTGTTTCTTACGTAATATGAAAATCAAGTATAGTGTGGCACATCATTTCAGTAAAACAAATTGAATGCAAATAAGAGCCACTGTGACTAATATCTTGAATAACAGACACATCATCATAACTTGTCGATGTTGAAGAAGTGATGTAGAACAATAATCGTCATCTATTCTTAAAATGGCCAGAAAAAAATTTTTAAACATTCTGAACTCATTGAACCGAAATATTGGAAGAAAATTTATTCCTTTTGCTCCGATTTCATTTCATTTTATTTCTCTTTGAACATGTTCGTTAAATTTCAACCGGTATATTCTACATCCCGTTAGGTTAACTGTACGTGTAATCAGCGTGTAATCAGTAGGTTCAATTGATGTAAAAAAGAATGAAGATTAGAACCCGATATTTTCTCGCAGAGTGCTGGCTGCGAATTCTAGTGAGTTGTAACGCATCTGAAACGATAATTACTGTTTAAGAGTAAATGAGCACTGTACTTTATGCTCTTACTTCAAAATGTCTGCTTCTACAGGATGAATATTTCAAACTTATGTCGACTGGTGCGTTTGTATTTCATGTCCATAAAGTTAACTGAGAGCTAGTATTGTAATATGTAACTTGGTCTTCCCAGGCTTAGGTAATTAATGAACCTTTGTCAGTGTATCAGTGTAATTTACACACTCTCTCATTTTGTAAGTTTCGATTTTCGCACTATTCAAAGAAGTTACATGAATGAAAAACAGATTACAGAATAAATTATGAAAATTATCGCTAAAAAATGAAACAGTGAAAGTGAAAGGAATTTGTTAACATCATGGAAATAAATTATAAGTGTGATGAGTTTTATTTTAAATGTTTTAAATATATAGCAAGGATGAATAAAAACAACTGTGCTCGATGATAAATTTGAAAATAATGGATTAAATGTGAACTTAAATAAATTTCAAGATTCTGACTGTTATTTCAGAGAGCGTACTCAATCAAAAATATTTGTCATCGCCAAATAAAATTTTCATCCAAAATCAAATTTTATGCAGTCCATTTCAAAAATGAGATACTTTCCTCATCATCATAGCAAGGGAAGGTTATGTAAAACAGTGACAACAATACTTCTTCATATTCAATTCATGAAATGCTCACTTCACTAATTTTTACAATCCAACACCACTCTTTCTTACCTATGCTTGTATCCCAATTCTTTAAGCCCATCATTTTTTGTAAAGTTTGTTATATGGCATAAATCAAATAATGTCTTTTGGAAGTGTGTTGACGTATTTATGTCATATGATGTAATGTTGAAAGTGTTTTATTTTGATAGCTGTATGTATTTCAAATAATTCTCATATAAATAAGTTAAATGTCATATTCATTTAGCTAAATGGCAGAAAAAAATGATGAGCAAAATACAACTTCAAAATGATAAAATAAGGCGGTAAATAGGTCAAGAAAGTTTGGAGTGGGGTGGTATTCAAGTGAGGCGTTTTGGAGGAAAGGCTGAAATGATTGATTGATAATAGGTTTTGAGGTGGTAGTGCTGAGGCACTCATTGATCAATCATTTTTCCTTTAGAGGTGATTCCCGTTATTTACCCGTTTGTCCCTCGTGCCTTCAGAAGCAGTTTCGTGGAAGTTAAAAGAGAAAAGGGAAAGAATTTGAAAGAAGAAGCAGAAACACTTCCACAGAATTCCTTCAAAACTGTCTCATTTATCTCATTTGAAAGGAGATGCCTATCAATCTACTATTTCCCAGTTCTCTCTTCTTGAGATTTGCCGCTATTCACTGCTTACAGCTTCAACAGAACTTATGTGATTAGCCATTGGTAGTGTTAAATGGATCATTTTGCAACTGCAACAAGCATATTTCATATATATTGAAGAAGGAGAAAGAGTTCGATGCTCCCGAGGATGATTGATGTATTAACAATCGGTGCAAACCAACAAATTCGTCTTTCCTCTTCCCTTTGTTTCCATTTCTGTGCATCAACTATAATTCTTAAATACCAAATTGTCATTCCTTCACAAAATTGTCTCTTGTTTTCCCTCCAAATTTGACACTTCGTTGACTGATGGGCTTTGACACAATCGATTGCAACTTTCGAATTGACAACAAACTGATCGACAAAAATACTTATGCACAAAAATACTTCCTTATGATGTAAACTTGTATGTTAGGATAACATGCATACTTTTGTTGAAATGAATGACGTTGTTCCAACTTTATAATTACGAAGCGAGCAGAACCAACTTTTTCAAATCCGATACTGCAAATTTCAAGCTTCTCCCTTTCAAATGATTGCCATTTTGAAACAATACAAATCGACTATGCATTTATAATGCAGTGGTTCACAGTAATGCTAACCATAAGGTATGTTTAAGTTATTGCCGAAAATGGTATTATTAATGAACCATTGTGAATAAGAAGTTGACATTTCCTCCATTTTGACGTCTGAAAAAGACAAGTTTCATGTTTATTGTGAAATTTCGCAAATAATATTAAAGAATGAAAGTTGGAAGGAACGAATGGAGTGCAGCAGCTGTCAATCACATCGTCACCACTGCTTCAATATACGGTAATATAAGGATGATGTTAACATCACTACTTCTCACTACTTTCTACCATATCCTCTAAGAGATCGTATTGTAGCTAACTCTTAGGGTTACGATACATTGTAAGTTGCTAACACGAGACAAATGAAGCTATTGTTTTGATGAAGCTATTTTGATGTTTTTTAATTTAATGACAAAAACAATTTCAATAGTTTTTCCATTTAATAATTTGATCCAAAATTCGGTCTAATAATTACTTCAGATAGAATCAAATAAAGTTCAGTACTCGTACAAGTTTGTGTTGTACTTATTTAAAAAAAATTAATCATGATGTATGATATATATATCTAAGATATATTTGAAGATGGATCTTCAACAACATCATCAGTAATAAATTCATTTCTATTGAACAAAAAAAAAAAAAAAAACCACTTTATGGCTGTAATTTTGGTTTGCATAATAAATTTAAATTTTCCCACTGAGCAGCATGTATGCTGCTTCTATTGCTCCTATTGCTTCTCATGCTATCCTTCAA